TGGAACTTATCGTCTCAGTGGGTGATTGAAGCTTCATCTGTCGACTACTTCCAAACAAATTGGATCGACTACGAGGCCACCATTGCCAGGAATAATACAAGCCAATCAGCCTCCTATCCTTTTCAAACCGAAACTGAATAAAAAACAAAATGACGTTATATAAAAGAACTGTGATATTTTCTCCCGGTGAACACATTTTTGTGGTTTTTATAGTTCATTGGACATCAAAACTATCCTTTTTACTTTCCACCATCTGCAGTTGAACTAACGAAAAAGTCGGAGTGGGTTTTCGAGATTTCAGTATTTTCATAGTTGACAGCATTAGTCAATTGACATTAACTCCATCGGATGCCTGCTCAGTGGTCTGTCGGTTAAGTGCTATGGTGCGAGACTGGTAGGTCCCGGGTTCGAATTTCGCAAAGCGGTATCGTGAATGCGCACTGCTGAGGGGTTTCACAATAGGACGAAACGGCCTTCCGGTGCTTCTAGGTTTTCCTTGGTAGTCTAGCTTCAATTGACTCATGATTTCAACTATGAAAATACTTTGATCTTTGTTTTTGTATATGTACTCTTTCAGGGCACGACTGTATTTTCGGATATCATACTTTTGGATTTGACATCTTACCGTTCATCTAATGAACATGACTATATATTCTGTAATAAATAATGGTCAGAACCTCTTAATCCTTCTGCGTTGTACGGATAACTAACCTCATGCCATCTAGTGTGTTAAGTAGGGTTAGTTTTCTGGACTGAGTACTTTTTAACTGATCTTCTCTAAATGCCGTCTAAATTAGTGCTATCCTTCCTCCGGTAAGAGTATATGATATAAGGAACTTTTCTCAGTTGAGATCTTCAGTAATCACTAAAACTGTTTGGGTTTCCGGAATTCAGGTAACTAATCTTCCCGAAAGAATCCCCAAGGGAAAGTACGCTATTTCAGCTGCAGAATAAGAACAGGAAGATAAACCCAGAGTGATGCCAAGATCACCCAGAAAGCACAAATTAAAAGGAGTTTCACAACTGTTCACCAATATCACTCTTCACGTGCTGTTAGTGAGAAAAGTATGTGTAGAAACATTGATTCCTAACCACAAGATCCTTGAAGCCGAACACATAATAACTAATAAGACTTACGCCACACGCTGAACAGTTGGACAAGGCCAAAATGGTTAACTCAGGAACGCCAAATAGCGATGGCTGTCATTCCCTCATTATACTCATTTACATGCGCCTCTTACCCCTTTGTGAGGGAGCACAGGCCGCCTACCATCAATTTCCATCCAACTCTGTCCTGGATAATCTTTCTGGCTTGTTTCAAGTCGCTATTCATCCTATGCAGGTCTGCCTCCAATTTTCAACGCGGTGTGTTCATTGGTCTTCCTCTTCTCAGTTTCCCTTCAGGATTCCAAGCTAGCACTTCCCTCATGGAGTAGTTTGGTGGTTTCTGTAATGTATGTCCTATCCACCTTCAGAGTCTCTTCTTAATTTCATCTTCATTTGGAACCCAGTTAGTTCTCTTCCACAGTGTATTGTTGCTGATGGTTCCCGGTCAAAGGACATTCAATATCTTGTGTAGACAATTATTAGTAAATAATTGTATTTTTCTGATTATGGTTGTGAGGGTTCTCGAAGTTTCAGCTTCGTATGGTAGAAGTCTTGACGTTCATGCTGAAGATTCTAATTTTCATGATATCTTGCAAGCAGTTGTTATGACTTCCGCATATTCTTCAAATGAAGGAACGCTGTCCTTGCTCTGCCAATCCTTGCCTTTATGTCTACATCAGTTCCCCTTTGTTCATCTATTTTGTTGACCAGGTAAGTGTAAGATTCCACCTGTTTCAGGGCTTCTCGATCATGTGTTGTTTGGTTGGTGTTATTTGTATCGTATTTGAGGATCTTGATTTCAATCCTGATGATGAAAAGGCTTCTGCTACACTGTTTGTCTTGACCTTCGCTTGTTGATCTGTACGGGATATAAGTACTGGGTTACATACGAAGTCCAAATCTTTTAATAGATTGCAAGCTGTCCATCGTATTCTATGCCTATCCTCAGATGTCGAGGTCTTCATAATCCAGTCAACCAGTGGAAGAAAAAGGAATATCAGAGTAAGCAGCTTTGTTTGACTGCGGTTCTTACTTGAAATGTGTCTGCCAACTGTTCCCCATGTACTCCTTTTCATTGTGGTTCGTCGTATGACTTTCGTATGATGTTAACGATTTTCTCAGGCACTTTGTAGAGTCGAAGAGGTTTCCATAATGTTCTCCTATCTACACTTTCAAGTAGTTTCTCATAGTGAAGGAAGTTGATGTATAGTGACGAGCTGCATCCGATTGATTGTTCACCGATGATCCGTAGTGTCGCGACTGGTCCTTATGGGATCCGTCCAGCTGATCTGCAAGCTGGACGTCTACCGAAACTCTCATCCGGTTCAGCAACACTATTGAAAACATTTCCTTGTACTGTGGATAATATAATGCCTTTATAATTTTCACATATTCAGAGGTCTTCGTTTGGTATCTTGATGAGTTTTCCTCCTTCCCAGTCTGTCCGTCAGCGCTGGCTACGCCTCCCAAATCATCCTGAATAAAACGTAGAGCATGATTGCTTTTACTTCAATATCTGACCTCGGGGCTTCAGCTGATATATTGTCAGGTACTGCCACTTTCCCGCTCTTCATTTGTCTGATGTCCATGTTGCCTTATTCGATCGCTGGTGGAATGACAGCTGTACTAAGGTCTGTGTGTGCTGTTTTGATGTCCGGTGGATTCAATAGTGCTAGTTTATTCAGCAGTTCCTCGAAGAGTTCTACCCATCCGTTTCTTTGTTCTTGAATCTCAGTGATTGTCTTGTCGTCTTTGTTCTTGGCTGGTCTCTTGTTTACTATATTTACCCTGTCAGCTTCTTCTTTGTGTCATATAGTGGTTTGATATTTGCTTCTCTTGCAGCCTTTTCCTCTGTCACTGGTAGGTTTTCCACTTATTTCTGCTTGGCAGCTTTGATGTTCCTCTTTATTCGCTCGTTTACTTTTGTGTATTCAGTTTATGCTTTTACTTTCTCTGTTCCCGTCCGGCTGTTGCTAATTGCTGTGTTCTCGTTCACCAGCGGTGTTCGCATGAACTAATGATTCTTTTGTATTCTATGTGTGCCCGATATCGAATTCTAAATACAATAATTTCGATTGTGCTCGTCATGTTCTGTTTATTTTTGGCTGCAGTATTTTGGGGAAATTCTATTTGTACAATAATTCAAATAATGATAATAATAATAATTTATTCTCAAATAACAGATTGTTACATGAGGCATGTCAGTTTACAGGCAAGATCAAATTGTTAAAGAAGTTACAATTTTCACTGTTGAAAATTACTCAGCTGGGTCGATATTTCATAAGATATGAATGTAAATGGATTTCATAAGAAACATGTCAATATCAATATCACACTTGGCGCACTTTATGGAGGTAGCGTTGCAACATACAACTGATGGTCGAGAATAGATACATGCGAAGTTGGGGGCTTTAAGAAGTTTCGAACTTATATCCCTCCAGAATATCGGAAGCATTAATAACGGTGTAGGACGAAGTCACCCGTGCCATATCTGTTTTCGGTGGAGTATCTGCAGGAGGCTGAAAAAGGTGTAAGAAAAAGGAAGGACGAAGAGCACATTACAGGAGAACAATGTGCCAATAGATGTATGCACATTACAAAATATGACATGTGTGTCAGTGTGAACTAATATGTACTGTGACTTTTAGCACAGCGGATTATAACGTAATTTATTCGCCAATCGTAATATGACGGGAACAATCATAGCACCATGTCAAACCAATAATGTGTAGACCGATATGAACAGCTCAGAGTCCTTATTGGTCCTCTTTCCTCCTAGCCCTACCAGTTGAGTCCAGATCACCGATACCAGCTTCCTCTATACGAATAAATTGTTTCTAACATACCTGGTTTATATATAGGTCAAGGAGACCATATCACACCACAAAATAGGAAATAACATTTATGCGAGATCAAGCCCAAAAGTGGCTGCGATTGTGGGAGACTGTAATTAGTAAACTGGGTATAACTTAGGAATAGTAAATCTCATGATAATAGTCTATAAGTCAAAATAAAGCAGACAGTGCGAGAAGTATGGATGTACATAATCTAGTTACTTAGGAATTATACAATAAGAATATGTGCACAGTATTAGTCCATAAATAGACCCCAACAGCTACCATTCATTATGCTCGTCGGTATATAATAGTATTTTAGTGTACAGACTAATGTATATGTAGTTGATCACTATAAAAAACTAGGGGAAAATCAGTTATAACGGCTTTCAGTGGAAATGACGGTAATTTGCAAATTTCTCGATGTTTTCGCAACAGAAAAAGCTTTTTAAATGATTAATGAGAAGCAATCAAAAATTCACTTACAATTGTAAGAAAAATAGGAAACATAAACGTATAAAATTTAACTTATTATATACACCTTGTGTGGAGGAAGAAGAAAGCCGATGCCGTCAGTAATCCGAATGAGTTGAGAACTTTCTATGTCTTATATTCTGAGTATTTTTTAAAATTGTCCTTGAAGATACGACTGGTCTTGAAGTTTTGCAACTCTAAACCAGTAGCAACTTCTATGTTCGAAGCGTTCATCAACCAGTTGAAATCAGAAATCAGACGAGAAGAGGGAGGAAAGATATATTTGATACGTTATCAATATATCGTGAAGCGTTTACTCTGATCTGGCTAGCGAACGTAGGAGCTGTGTCCCCCGCTGGATCGTAACGTGATCTGGTACGGATGCATGACCGAAAGCCTTCACTTAGACAAGTCCACTTAAAACAGTGTGGTCAGCATGTCGAACACTTAGAAAGCTATTGATTTTGGGGAGTTATTTACAGCTACATCCTCATGATGAACATGGCATGTAGGCTTTTAAATGCCCTGTCATAACTTATTGAGCATGCATGATTATTACCTAACTTTGTGAAGTTTGCTAGTTACGTAGTAATGAACTTTTCCTGATAGTGGGTACCAAGTGTTGAGTACTTGATGGTCACATGATACGGTACATTCGAGACTTCCGAACTTAGCTCACATTTTCTCTGTTTTATTTTTTCTTTATTTTAAAATCTGCATATCCCTTTAAAAATCAACGTCACTGCAAACTAAGTGTGAATTACCACAATTCAAGATAACTGGGGAGTTGAAGTTTAACTACAACGCGAAAAATAAGCGACTCTTAGAATGTCCTTGGTGGAATTTTGATATATGGTCTTGTTGGACTGTCAGCTCCTGGTTTTGGTCTTAAGCTTTTTTAGATATAGTGCTTGGTTTATCGCTGGTTGTTCCTGAATGTACATTCGCTGATTCACGTTTTTTATGTCTTCCTGTACATTCCTCACATAACTCTACATGCTAGACGTACACCACCAAAGTTTTCGTCATTCCCATACACTTCTTAAGTCCAACACATTCTTAGTAGTCTATCAGAAAACTAAGGTAGGGTATCTAGTGGTTATTTATTTTCTTCTATGCCAAACTACTTGAGAAGTTTAAGTTTGCTGGTTTACGTAACACAGTCTTCAGTGATATGGATAGTAGGTTGATGAACCTGTGTTAATCCTGAAACACTGCCTTCCAGTGAATGTCCAGCTTCTCCTTGAGAATGTTCACTGATGGGGCTGATGCCTTTTGTTCGGGTAATGAGAATTCGCATTATATATATATTAGTGTAAGCCGACTTTCTGTGGAGACTAGTTATAATCTCGCACTCCAAGTATAAAAGTCGTCTAGAATTTCCTTTTTTGTGACCTATATCTTCGATAAGATATTTAAGTCTTTACCAGACATGATTTCGCTACACAGTTGTAGCCCCCGTTTGTTTATGCGTAATAATTAATTGTGGACAAAAAGGCTGCATGCATCTGATCACCAACACTTATAAAGGACTGCTTACATGTGATGAGATTGTTAAGTTTGCATCGCTAGCACAAATTTAGGAATTAATGAGTTTTAACGATTTTCCTATAGTTAGCCATTCGCTCCTCCGAAATCGCACCTAGGTAAGTTTTGAACCATGTACTAATGTTCATTACTATTAGTTGGCTAACCTTTCAGCTGTATGAAATAGAGCCGTAACGTGATAACAAATTCGTACAAATACAAAAAAATAAATTAGCAGAATCAGATTTAAAATCTTTTAATCCGAATAGCTACTTATGTATTCTTGACTTTTCTCTTGCTGCTTAAACATTATGTACCAAATGAAATGATAAGATCAACATTTAATAAATTAGACTACACCATTTCACCGAAAAGAATTCAAGACGATATTTTGTCAAAAAGTGTATCTTTATGTCTTGTGTTAAAAAATTCGATCTTTTTTTATCGTAACATTTCATCTTCTTTTATCGGTCTGAAGATATTTCCATAGGGAGCAGTTAGTTCGTTGCTAAGTTTTGTTATGCTACGAACACTTTACTGTAGCCTGTCAACTATGAACAACCAACTGAAAATTAGTCGTAAGTGTTAGCAAGTGCTTCTGTTAATTGTGCCTGTAATTTTAGATTTACGAGTTCCATATAGAAAATCCAATGATATATTCGATATTATAAATTTAAAGCACAAAGATCCTTTACTTTTGTTCAAGTCGTGGTTTGAAGAAGCTATCAAATGTGAAAATGTTTTTGAACCTAATGCAATGGCTCTCGCAACGTGTAATAAGTAAGTTACTGCGATAGTTTTTCTTATATTATGTCTACAAGCTACACTTCCATTGTACAAGAAATGCAGTCAAATAATAATTAAAAATTATTCTGTTCTCATCTGATTGCATACAATTATGGGTGAGCACACATCCGTATTCAAAGTCAGTGTTAACTTTTAGTGTGGTTTTGAAGAAATGGTAGATCACGTGCTCATCTTTCAGAAATGTTAGATTCAGCAAATAGTCAGTTATTTGCCGAATATTTAACAGTAGCATCCGGTCAATAATGTACAGTTTTAAGTTGGAGATCTGTTACCATAGAAGTTTATCTTTATTATTTGGCATGTTATAAATTTATGACTCTTCCCTAGTTGATAGAAGTATACTTGACTTGATTGACTATCTAGGACCTCGTTCTGATGTATTGTAATCGTTAAAAAATATTCAATGTTTGAAGCGGTTATATATATTCGTAGGAAATATTCGTGTGTCTGTGAGTTTTAATAGAATTTATGGAAACTCACGATGTTCAGTTTGTATTTGATGATGTGAATGTTTAGGAATTCATATTGTGACTCTATCAATTGACTGATAGCTGCTATTGTAACAAGTTTCCAGAAAACGGTCAGCACCAGATATCGAATGCATTCGAGAGGGAATTATAACATTTATTGTTAACAACTAACATTAAAAGTAGTTATGGACCGTCATCCCATATATTGCTGGATTATTGGTCGTTAATTTACTGATATAAAAATCATAAAAACATTTCTAGTAACAATCAGTGTTGACTGAAATTTCTCTTTTATCTTAGAGCAATCTTTTCCCCACATATTGACTAACTGTAGTGAAAAGTACCAAACGTTCGTTTTTGTAGACTCTATTTGTTCAAAATAGCTATAAAATTAAACGTACTATCCTGATATATTTTTGTTTAAAACGATCAAATCAAAGAGAAAGAATTCAAATTAGCAAACGGTTGATTGGGGTTGCGAATCAGAACTTTTGTGGTGACCATTATTAGGAGGTAAAAAAGCTAAATATACCAATCCATAGATACATTTCAAAAAACAAAACCGTATTATTTTAAGATTATTGAATATCACTCTTGGTGCTTCCAGGTTACTCCGTTAGTTTTCTATGAGGTTGAATGATAACCATATCCTAGAAAGTCCATCAAAAAGTTGTTCAAACCCCTCATTTGTGTAAATGAGTGTTCAGAAAAAATATGTTGTATTATCGATGACAACGTAACTCCGCCTATAGCTCCTCTGGGGGTTACTGCCGGTCCCACGCCCGGGTAAAGGAGGAGGGTTTGGCATGGGGTTAGCGACCCCATCCAGTAGAAAATCAACTCGCTAAAAAAACGCTAACCAGAAAAAATCATTCAAACCTTTCAAACTCTGCCCTGGGAGTAGAAGGAATAATTATGACGTCTCATGATGAAAGCCGAGTTCCTTCGGAAGTCATGAGGCCGATGCACCTTCTTACAACCAGAGCGAAAATTTTTATAGGTACATAGAATGTCCGAACAATGTGGGAAACCGGAAGAGTCTTCCAAATTTCTGCGGAAATGAGGAAATACAACCTGGGGGATCTTGGAATCAGCGAAACACATTGGACGCACGTTGGACAACAACGACTGTCTTCAGGAGAACTTCTGTTATACTCCGGTCATGAAGAAGAAAATGCCCCACATACACAAGGAGTTGCATTGATGCTGTCCAGAAAAGCACAAAATACACTTGTAGGATGGGAATCTCATGGACCAAGGATCGTCAAAGCCTCCTTCAAAACAAAGAGAGAGGGCATTACAATGAACGTCATCCAATGCTATGCGCCTACCAATGACTACGATGAAGACGCTAAAGACCAATTCTACGATAGGCTGCAGTCGATCGTCGAGAAGTGCACAACCAAGGACCTGACAATTCTGATGGGAGATCTCAATGCTAAGGTTGGAATGGACAACACTGGATACGAAGACGTCATGGGACAACATGGACTGTGTTAGGATATTCACAAGAATATCCCAAAAATTATCTCGAATGTAAAATGGTATGTTTCCAGACTCTTCGCATAATTCGCATGTTATTTCCTATTGGCCATTATTTACAGTGTCCTAACTATGACTTTCATGTGTCGTTTCCCTATTGGTCAATTTTGAATCGTCCTAATTATAACCTTTACGTGTCCTTCTTTTCCATTGGTTACTGTTAATAGTCATCGTAACTGCATAAATATGCCTTATCTGTAAACCATTGTTGTTCTGCTGCTGACCCCATAAACAATTCTCATTTAACGGCTGTGTTCTGATTTATTGGAGTTGGGAAACAGTACTGGGGTCGAACTAGGATATCTGAATTTGGTCAATCGGTAGAATTTCGCGTAGTCCTATCGCAATACGCTATATTTCGCATTATAACAATTGGCGACGGGGACAAAAGTGAAAAATGACGCTCCCTTCTGACCGCTTACAGTTGCTATTTGACCGACATTTGGAGTTCATGGTCAAACTACGCTCACAGTTTCTGGATCATCAATGCTTCGCATATGCGTCGGAAGTGGATGTATTAATCTCTGAATTGCACACAGAGCTGGCAAATGATCACAGCCTCCATGAATCCTCGACCAGCCGCAACTCAAACGAAACAGCAGACTCTCAAGAGACGCCCGGTTGTCCAGCACTATCCGTTTCAGAAACATACCCGGTAGTGGATTCAAACCCCACTATCCCTGAATTAGCAGGTCCTAACAATGCCGCTTTCAGCTCTCATCAATACGATGCTATGTTAAAAGCCCATGAAATGGTCGCACCAATCGCCCACAGAGTACCGGTTCACAAGAAGCCCCCTTCTCCATGTTGGCACTGTGGAGCCTGGCATTATGTGAAAGTTTGTCCATTCAAACAGCAGGTGTGCGATCGCTGTCATAAAGTTGGTCACAAAAGCGGTTTTTGTCAATCTCATCGACCCAATAGGCGTCGAAATGCACAGACGCAACGTCGTTATACTAAAAAGCAGCTTCCCTCATCAAGGAGTTTAGCAGCAGTTTTTCACACTCATGCCGCCACGCGCCGCAAATTTCTAACCCTCTCAATCAATGGTCAACCAGTTCGATTGCAGTTGGACACTGCATCAGATATCACTATCCTGTCGAAAGATACTTGGCGAACCTTGGGTCAACCTCCCATCAAACCGTCTTCGCAGACAGCCGTTAGTGCATGTGGTGGTCATCTCCGACTTCATGGTGAACTTAACTGCTGTATTTCGTTCAGAGGTACAACCTTCAATGGTACGTGCTACATCACCAAATCCCCTCTCAATCTTCTGGGTTTAGATTGGTTCGAAGAACTTGGTCTTGCCAATCTACCTATCAGCACTATCTGTAATCAAGTAAAAACTCTTGCTACTACACAACAGCATGCTGCAGACCTCCAAAAACGATTCATTGAACTCTTTCAGCCTGGTCTTGGTCTTTGTTCCACAACTGAAGCTGTTTTGAAACTTCAGCCAGAAGCTACGCCAGTTTTCCGTCCAAAACGTCCAGTCCCATATGCATCCCTACCTCTGGTCGACGCTGAACTGCAACGTTTGGAAACTGAAGGTGTCCTTGTACCTGTTTCTTATTCTTCATGGGCTGCACCAATTGTGGTTGTCAAAAAGTCTAATGGTTCCATACGCATCTGTGCAGACTTCTCTACAGGACTCAACGCGGCGCTGCAACAGCATCATTATCCGCTGCCGATCCCAGATGATTTGTTTACTATTTTAAATGGTGGTACCTACTTCGCTAAGCTAGATCTCGCGGATGCTTACCTTCAAATTCCTGTCGCTCGCGAATCGAGAGAATTGCTGACAATCAACACTCACCGAGGTCTTTTCCAGTATACCCGATTACCATTTGGTATCAAGACTGCTCCAGCGATATTCCAGCAGATTATGGATACTATTCTGGCAGATGTTCCTGGTGTTGCTACGTATCTTGACGACGTCCTCATTGTCGGCTCAACTGCTGATGAACTGCATTCCAGAACATATTTAGTTCTACAACGCCTCCAAGATAATGGTTTTCGCCTTCGTTCAGAGAAATGCCAATTCTTTCTACGCTCCGTTAAATACCTGGGGTTTATCTTTGATGCTTCTGGACGACATCCTGATCCTCAAAATACTCACGCAATCCAGCAAATGCCTGCTCCCACTGATGCCTCTTCACTGCGATCATTTTTGGGAATGGTTAGCTACTATTCAGCATTTCTACCATCACTACATGAGGTACGATATCCATTAAATCATCTGCTAGAAAAGAATGCTACTTGGAATTGGTCCACGCAATGTGAATCAGCTTTTTCAAAACTTAAAGCCATGTTAAGCTCCAAACTACTGTTAACCCACTACAATCCGAAACTACCAATTGTAGTTGCTGCTGACGCTTCAACCCATGGACTGGGTGCCGTACTACTGCATGTTTTTCCCGATGGTTCAGAGAAAGCAGTGATGCATGCTTCGAGAACACTAACAGCCGCTGAAAAACGTTATGGTCAGATCGAGAAAGAAGCCTTAGCTCTGATTTTTGCTGTCCGGCGATTCCACAAATTCATTTACGGGCGCCGTTTCACTTTGCTCACAGACCATAAGCCGCTGTTGTCAATTTTTGGATCAAAGAAAGGCATTCCTGTTCATTCTGCTAATCGTCTTCAACGTTGGGCGTTGGCGTTACTGAGCTACGACTTCGACATCCAGTATCGACGTTCTGAAGATTTTGGTCAAGCGGATGCATTGTCCAGACTTATCAGCAAGCACTCTACAACTGATGAGGATACACTCATAGCCACAATAGCAACGGAAGATGATTCTGGTGCAACACTATTGGCGAATGCCGTGCGAGCTATGCCTGTTACGGCTGAAAACGTTCGAGAAGCTACCAGAAACGACCCGATTATTCGAGAAGCAATCACTTATGTTCAGAGCCGATGGCCAGTTAAGCAGTTCAGTGGTGAGATGCTACACCTAGCGAATCGTCGCAGCGCTCTTTGTGTTGTCAATGACTGTCTGATGTTTGGTGACCGTGTGGTAATTCCAACAACCCTGCGTGCCAAGGTCCTACGCCAATTTCACGCTGGTCATCCAGGGATAAACCGTATGAAATCTATCGCTCGTAGTTACGCATACTGGCCGAACATGGACAAGCAAATTGTCGACTTCGTCAAAACATGTCCACATTGTCAGACAGCTGCGAAACATCCTCCTAAGTTGCCACCAGTACCCTGGCCCAAGTCAGAAAAACCCTGGTCGCGAGTGCACATTGATTTTGCCGGACCCCTAGATGGTACCATATATCTGATACTGGTCGACTCCTTCTCCAAATGGCCAGAGATATTGCCGATTGCACCACCCTCTACAACTCGAACCATCCAACTCCTTAACCAGATCTTCGCTCAGCATGGTCTGCCAGAAACAATAGTAACAGACAATGGTTCGCAGTTCACATCCAGTCAGTTTCGAGAATTTTGCTTGCAAAACTCGATCAATCATGTCCGTTCTCCGCCCTACCATCCGCAATCTAATGGACAAGCTGAACGCTTCGTCGATACATTCAAACGTGCCATGCTTAAGGCAAGAGGGGAGGGAACAACACACGATATTATAGAACGATTTCTAATTGTGTACCGGACGACTCCTCATGATTTATTGCCGAACTTCAAATCCCCTTCGGAGGTACTTATGGGACGGAAGCTACGAACAATTCATAATGCAATGACACCCAGGCGAGTAGCCCAGCAGAGTCCTCACATGAAGAATACCCGAATTCTTTACGAAGTTGGCGCAAAAGTGTATGTGCGGGACTATAGACATGGGTATGATAAATGGATAGAGGGTGAAGTCGCAAAGAGACAGGGGAAGGTCATGTATGAGGTCAGAGTAAACAGAGAAATCTGGACCAGGCACCATAATCAACTAAGGCCAAGAGAAGCCAAGAAAAAAATTGAAGTTACGAAACGCGTCCCACTCGATTTATTACTGGATACTTTCCAACTTCCGCCAATACCTACAACGGAGGCAACTCAGTCATCTAATCAGGCAGAACATTCTTCCGGTTCTCGGTCGTTACCTCCAAGGAGGTCGGGACGCAAACGCAGAAAACCAAAAAACTTTCAAGTAAACCCACGATTGCGTCGCTATTAATTTTTTCCAAGGGGAGGTGTTAGGATATTCACAAGAATATCCCAAAAATTATCTCGAATGTAAAATGGTATGTTTCCAGACTCTTCGCATAATTCGCATGTTATTTCCTATTGGCCATTATTTACAGTGTCCTAACTATGACTTTCATGTGTCGTTTCCCTATTGGTCAATTTTGAGTCGTCCTAATTATAACCTTTACGTGTCCTTCTTTTCCATTGGTTACTGTTAATAGTCATCGTAACTGCATAAATATGCCTTATCTGTAAACCATTGTTGTTCTGCTGCTGACCCCATAAACAATTCTCATTTAACGGCTGTGTTCTGATTTATTGGAGTTGGGAAACAGTACTGGGGTCGAACTAGGATATCTGAATTTGGTCAATCGGTAGAATTTCGCGTAGTCCTATCGCAATACGCTATATTTCGCATTATAACAGACTGGGAGGAAGGAACGAAAATGGTGAGAGATTTGCAAACCTATGTGCCTTCAATAAACTGGCCATAGGTGTTGCCATATTCCTATATAAAAGCATTCACAAAACCACATGGACTTCACCGGATCATACTACATAGAACCCAATTGACCATATCTGCATCAACAAAAAGGTCAGGAGGACGATGGAGGATGTGAGAACCAGAAGAGGAGCTGATATAGCATCAGATCATCATTTGCTGGTCGCCAAGATGAAACTAAAACTTAAGAAGCAGTGGACAACGGCGAGGACAACATCACAAAAGTTTAACACGGCCTTTCTTCGAGATGCTGACAAACTCAACAAATTCAACATAGCCCTCAGCAACAGGTTCCAGGCCTTTCATGATCTACTCAATGGAGAGGGAACTACCATGGAGAGCAACTGGAAAGGTATCAAGGAGGCAATCGTTTCAATATGTCAGGAGGTTCTGGGACAAAAGAAGCACCATCACAAGGAATGGATCACTGTTGGTACACTGAATAAGATTGAAGAAAGGAGGAACAAGAAGGCAGCAATCAATATCAGCCGAACAAGAACGCAAAAAGCCAAGGCACAAGCCGAATACACAGAGGCAAACAAGCAAGTGAAGAGGAGCATCAGAACCGACAAACGTAAATATATGAAAGATTTAGCAATGACAGCGGAAAAGGCTGCAAGAGAGGGAAACATGAGACAACTGTATGATACAACCAAGAAACTTGCTGGAAATTACCGTAAACCAGAAAGACCAGTGAAAAGCAAGGAAGGCAAAGTAATCACCGACATTGAAGAACAACGAAACAGGTGGGTAGAACACTTCAAAGAACTCTTAAATCGACCAGCTCCACTGAACCCACCCAACATCGAAGCAGCACCCACGGACCTCTCAATCGATGTTGGCCCACCAACAATTGAAGAGATCAGCATGGCCATTAGACAAATCAAGAGCGGCAAAGCAGCGGGACCAGACAACATCCCGGCAGAGGCACTGAAAGCAAATGTAGCAGCACCTGCCAAGATACTCCACATCCTCTTCAGAAAGATTTGGGACGAAGAACAAGTACCAACAGACTGGAAAAAAGGACTTCTGATCAAGATACCAAGGAAAGGCGATCTCAGCAAGTGCGGCAACTACAGGGGCATCACTCTCCTCTCAATACCAGGAAAAGTCTTCAACAGAGTATTGTTAAACAGGATGAAGGATTCCGTGGACGCCCAATTTCGAGATCAACAAGCTGGATTTCGTAAAGATAGATCGTGTACAGACCAAATACCAACTCCATGGATCATTGTGGAACAATCAATCGAATGGAATTCATCATTGTACATCAACTTCATTGACTACGAGAAGGCATTTGACAGCGTGGACAGGACGACACTATGGGGGCTTATTCGACACTATGGCGTGCCTGAGAAAATAGTCAATATCATACGGAACTCCTATGATGGACTAAACTGCCAAATCGTCCATGGAGGACAACTCACCGACTCGTTTGAAATAAGGACTGGTGTTAGGCAAGGTTGCTTACTTTCACCGTTTCTCTTTCTCCTGGTGATCGACTGGATCATGAAGACGTCAACGACTGGAGGAAATCACGGGATACAGTGGACAGGCAGGATGCAGCTTGACGATTTAGGCTTCGCGGATGATCTGGCTCTTCTATCACAAACGCAACAACAAATGCAGGAGAAAATGACCAGTGTAGCAGCAGCCTCAGCAGCAGTAGGTCTCAATATAAACCAAGGGAAAAGCAAGACTCTCCGATGCAATACAATATGCACCAATCAAATTACACTTGACGGAGAAGCTTTGGAAGATGTGGAAACCTTTACATATCTGGGCAGCATCATTGATGAACACGGTGGATCAAATGCAGATGTGAGGGCGAGGATCGGCAAAGCAAGAGCAGCATACCTACAACTGAAAAAACATCTGGAGCTCAAAACAATTGTCAACCAACACCAATGTTAGAATTTTCAATACAAATGTCAAGACAGTTCGACTGTATGGGGCGGAGACGTGGAGAACTACGAAAGCCATTATCCAGAAGATACAAGTGTTTGTTAACAGCTGTCTACGCAAGATACTTCGGATCAGATGGCCAGACACTATCAGCAACAAGTTACTGTGGGAGACAACAAATCAGATTCCAGCGGAGGAAGAAATCAGGAGGAAGCGCTGGAAGTGGATTGGGCACACCTTGAGGAAATCACCTAATTGCGTCACAAGACAAGCCCTTACATGGAATCCTGAAGGTCAAAGGAGAAGAGGAAGACCAAAGAATACATTACGCCGAGAAATAGAGACAGACATGAGAAGAATGAACAAGAACTGGATAGAACTAGAAAAGGAAGCCCAGGACAGAGTGGGTTGGAGAAAGCTGGTCGGCGGCCTATGCTCCATTGGGAGTAACAGGCGAAAGTAAGTAAGTAAGTAAGTAAATCGATGACAACGTCTACTCACTTCTCTTGAAAACTGCTTTCTGAAATCTCTCGTACAGATTGGTATTCCAAGTATTTGGGTCTGAAATTCTCACCATTTAAAGTCGTTTGTCTAACCTGTGACGTAGACTTATGTTCATTAATGTCAGAGATTCAAAGACTGGTGGGAAAAGCAAACGCACTTTCATCACAAATATATGTTTTTATGGTGTTTTTAAAAGAAATATTGTCGATTCATTTCTTATATCAAGCTGCTATGTAGATTTATTTATTTGCTTCAGTTACTCCTCGTGGAGCATAGGCTGTCGACCAGTTATTCGTAAATGAATATGAAATCGAGAATATATACTTATAGAAAGCTTCATTTATTACCAGGATAATTCTATTATTAAACCATGAATACATGTTCCAGTGTGAAATGGGACTAAATTTCGCGTAATTTTAATAGGGATTTACCTCAAATGTTTCCATAAAAATATTGCTTATAAACAGAATTATCGAGACATTTCACATTAATTAAACCAAAAAAATTGTTACACAAATACTGGTGAATATTTTAACACTAAAGGAAATATCATAAGGTATTGTATTAGTGTTTGTATAAAACAGTTTCTATTTTTCATTCACAGTTGACTTGATGCTTTTATTTCCTCAAGCGTTTCTTATTAATCAATTTATATCGAAACTTATTTTTTATCAGGCAGTGTATTCCAAGTGTACGGTTTGTCCTTTTGAAAGAATTGGATGAAAATGGATTTCACTTTTTCACTAATTATAATAGCAGAAAAGGTCAAGAGCTTGATGATAATCCATATGCAAGTCTTGTTTTTTATTGGGAGCCTCTTAAACGTCAGGTAAGAACAAGTGATCAATTAGAAATATTTAACCTGAATCTTGAATTCCAGTGTAAGCAATGATAACCAAATGATCTGTACATTTAATTGGTTTAAAACCTTTAGATCATCAAGCTCAGAACAGGATATTTAACGTATTATTTATCTGAACACAAATATTGGTACAAGGGGGCACAAAATACAAATGAGCCACACAATAACAATGACATTGTGAAGTGATAGAGAAAGGAAGATGAGTATAGTAAAAAAAAACAAACCGGAATAGAAATTAGTGCACTAGAGTGAAGTAATAATAATAATGGTGGAAGATACCTCAGTCAGAAAGAATACAGTCAGAAGGAATTCTTTTAGTTAAAGAAGTTACGTTCACTTTTATAAAGAAATTAAAAGCAAGTTACAGCAGAATCATCCCTGGATTCTATTCTGAACCATGTCTGATAACGTCTCTACATCACTGTATTGGATCATCTCTAGGACTCCGACCAAGGGGTTGTGAAGGACCAACAGAAGCCAGTTCTGTGCAGCTTTCTTTCATACCACGATACCTTGTCATACACTGTTCATCACTCCGCTTTTTTCCAACCGTTCCCAGCGTCGGTGAAGATGCACGATGTGGAATTTTGAAGGTAGACATTCGTAAGACACGTCCAAGCCACCGAAGTCGATGTTTCACGATAGCGATACTAATGGAATCATCGTCGCTGTGTCTGAACACAGGATGACGAACCTCTGCATTACTGAAACGGTGTTGCTACTGGATGTTAGCAATCCTTTGGAGACAGTGGTAATCAAACATACAAAGTTGTCTAACATCCTCAACTGGAAGAGGCCAGGTCTCACAGTAGGACAATATCATCCGCATACTCAGGGTTGAAAAATCCTCCAGGCAGCAGCAAAAGAATAAAGCTTTGAATTTATTTGAATTTTCGTTTAACAGTAACTGGAAGTGGTTAAAAATTGGATTCAGGTGTAACATTACGTTGTATTCTAAGCACGTTGTCTAGGTAGCTTAAGTAATTTTTTATGTTATCGCAAGATCAAAACCTAGTGAACAGTGCTCTCTAAAACTTAGTCTCTATTCATTGAATTGACTTTTATTGCTCTTATATATATATATAAAGAGGTTCTGATCACCAACCAATGATAAACTATAAAATAAATGCAATGGATTAATTATATTTAAGACAGTCAATAATCAAGATTATCTGAATAACTTGATCCATTATTCAAGGAGTTAAATTAAGGCTGATAAACGACTGATAGTTTGCGGAATTCCAGCATGAATACAAAAGGCTCTTTTAACGCTCATCAACGCATATGGTTGGTTGGTCGGATCCCCGACTACTTGTCAAAGGATGAATTTAACTATTAGTAGTTTATTTTGTTTTAGTTTGCATCTCTCAAGACTCAATTACTATGGATGAAAGTCATGCGTAATTCATAGGTATTTGATCATTACTCTTGTTTTCTGTAACCACTAAATGGTCAATTTGTGGGTAGTGAATACTGATTTGATAATCCAATCAGAAGTAGCCAAATTAGGTCAGTCAATAGCAATTAAAAGTGACCTGAAGGACTTTGGTTATGAAATGGATTGATTTCCTGGGGGGGGGGCAGCGTTGCATATATAAAAATAAGTGTTTGTGCATTCCTTTTTCGGTAGCACAATGTTCTTTATCGTCCACACTCGTGTTCTAGCTCGAGTAGTCAGTTGGGGTAGGGGGTTGTCATGTATCAGCATCAGATTTCGGACACCACCCGTCACAACAAAAATATAACAATTATTAGTTTTACTTTTGTGAAAAGGTAAGTAACTGTTCTAAAACATTTCTAATTTTCTTTAAAACCACAATTGCCATCTATATGAAGACGAAAATTCCTATCAAACTTAGAAGGTAATAAATTTTCAATTGATGTGCACATCAAAAAGAAGATATGACGTATTTAGACTGACTTATTACACTTCATATTTTAGGCATACATATGAAATACGTTAGGAATATTGAATTTTAGTTTTTATCACAATTTGAATAACTTAATAGTTGAATTCATGAGTCAATTGAAGCTAGACCACCATGAAAAACTTGGAAGCACTGGACGGCTGTTTCTTCCTAGTATGGGACTCCTCAGCAGTGCACATCCACGATTCTGATTGCGGGATTCGAACCCCAGGACCTATTGGCCTCAGTGGTCTAGAGGTTAAGCGTTCGCGAAATTGCCGTCCACTACTTCCAAGTTTTCAATGGTGGTCTAACGTCAACTGGTTCATGACCTCAATCAAAAACGTAGTAATCTCCACAACTCTTAACTGATATTGTAATGAATTAAATATTATTCGAGCCACTAAAATATTCGCAACCTTATTTAGTTGCATGAACTATTGGTGTTTGTTCTACTATAGTATTCTCAACCCGCGTTACTTATTTTCTAGGAGAGATGTCTGTCTTCCAAAACAATAATGTTAATTCCTTGATATGCAATTCATTTAATCATATTATTTTAACAAATTGATTGATTATTACAATGAGTTCATATTTTTATTTACACGGAGACCAATGACTTGATTGATTATGGTGCAAATGATATAGAATTAATCTTCCGTAACATGTAATCTCATTCTAATGAGTAATTATGACTTATTCAATTAGTTATATCTGTTGGTTATAGATGCTTAATTGTATGAGATTGTGTGTTCACACAGTAAGTTACTGATTCATTGTATTGTATTGTAACTTAATGTGCTTCCTATCAAAAATGCTACTAGATACTTTCTTTCAAATTATATTTTCTGAGTAGGTACGTGTGGAAGGCGTTGTTTCACGTGCTTCAGAGGTAGAGAATGAAGAATATTTTCAATCCCGCCCAAAGGCTAGTCAAATTTCTGCTACAGTTAGTTCACAAAGTGAACCAATTCCTTGTCGTGAAGTAAGTTCAACATCTGAAATACATACAATATCTTAATGAAAGTTTGTGTTTGATTGTACTAAAGCGCTCTTCATCTAACAATACTAAAGAATGTTTCGGCGTAGATGTAAAATCCATATTTTGAATTTGAACCCTAATTATCTTAGTAAAGGTAGCATTTCTAATTTATTGATGTGGTACCATTTCGATTTTAACCGCGGAATATGGTACACATACTTCTTATAGTTTGTATGTAGTAAGTAGTGAAATATATAATGGGCGCGGTTTATCTAGATGAAATCAACACGGATAAAAAATTATTTGGATTAACAAATTTTCTTCCCACTTCAATATACATGTGGATTCCTACGGTATCTTTTTAATCGAGCGCAACTTTTATGTTCATACAAGGAAGTGATCAAAACTTTTATGAAAATATTTTTTGATAATAACTGTAATCCAGAACTTGTTAAGATTCATAAATTACTTAAAACTCAGATAATTCTGATGGTTTAATCTATAAACTGTCTTGAAAGGACATGTAAATAAATCCTCATTATGTATATCTGTGTTATGTAAACTAACCTTCTCAATTACTTAATCTTCATGCTATGTATTTTATTCATTACAAATATTTATATCCAAACAACAATTTGGAAATTTTTGAATCAGTACTGTATCTTTGTATATTAACTATGAATCTTTTTATGATCTCTTAACTCCAACTTATCATGCACAGGTAAACTGTACGTAGGTGTATATAACGTCTTGTTCAACGACCTCATTTTTCTCCAGGTTTTCAATCAATTAGTTTACTACAAAGACTTTAAACTTTGCATGTCATTCGTTTGTCATCACTCCTTCCTCAATGTTATTTGTTCACGTGGTAGGATTCTTAATGGTAGAGTGTAATATATAAGTAGTCATTTTTATTTCTTCAACTATTTTCTCATCTGACTACATCATATCGAATTGGTTCAGAACGTCTTGGGATGATGGTATCTTTTTTTCTCGCTTCAAACAGTTTCTGGACAAAAAGTACGTAGAATTAGAAAATGAATATGCTTCAAAAGAAAAGCTTCCAAAGCCTTCAAATTGGTACGTCCCTAATATACTTTTTTATGAATAAGCGATATAAATCTAGTGGGAATCATATCATTATCTACCTATATTTTCAATGTCATAAGAATAATTGACTTAGTTATTGCTGATGTGCTTCATAATACCCAGATTCAAATTTCTAGTCTTATGTGTCAAAAAAGTACTAATCGTTTAAATGTCTCTCTTATTTACAAATTAGTTAAAGGAAGAAAGGTCTTTCTTTCCAGTCAGATCCTGGCCATGGCTCTTCACAAATATATACGTTTACGGTTAAGTATAAAATCCATACCAAATAAATGGTGATAGATCAGTTCAACAATGTCTCTTAATCGTAATCAGTTACTAATATGAAAAATGCAAAATTAAATGATTGATCGATTATGACAACGTAAGAATAAGAATAGGGATAGAGTTAAGCAAAGATGGATACTGGCTAGCAGTGGAATCCAGGACGCGCGTTTCGTCCTTTTTGGGACTCGTCAGCTGGATGTACCTGCATCTCAGAATCGATGTTCACTGTGGGACTCGAACCCAATAGCTTTCGCTTCAAACGCCATCGCGTTATCCACTCGGCCACTGAGTCCTGATGGCCACTTGCTTGAGTAATGGGGTGAAGTTTAAATTCAACTTGTTTGTTTGAATCTTCCCATTGATGTTTAGGACTGCAACTGGTCAGTCTCCATCTTTGCTTACCATGCTTGTGAATTTAGGCTATATCGAGGCAATATGCACATATGCCAATAAGAGATTGATCAGTTACAGTCCTAAACATCAATGGGATGATTCAAACAAACAATACTAAGTTGAATTTAGGGATAGAGTTAGTTTAAAAATTCATGCCATCTGAGTATGAATGATTAATGTTACTTGTAAAATTAATAATACATAACTAATAAAGTTTCCGCCAAAAATTAAATAATCAGCTTATAAAGGTAAATTACGTAGGAATACTAAGAAATAAAATTGAATCTACATTGAAGAGATTAAAAATCTTTTTTGAGACATATAAAATTGACTAAGTCGAAAGCCAAAGTAGATTAAGGAGCCATAAAAACGTCTCCTGTATGCAGAAGATAAGCCTTGTTCATGTGTATTTCTTTGGCTTCTGCTGTATATAAGAGCCAAATTTCGGAGTCATTGGTTTAAGTTCAGTAGAACTCTGTTGATAACTTTAAGAGCTGAAGTACTGAAATACCAGTTTTGACTAAATTTAGTAGATTATGGCTTCTTATTGTTTTCTATTATCCTCTGTACCACCATAATGGGTGATGTTCAGAAATACAATGATGGTTTCATGTGGCTGTAGGACCTCTATCACTGGGCTCACAGAAACAGCTGAAGTGGTGAATAAACATTAGAAACATCAGAATTAAGCAGTTTATATTTATTTTGTGAATAAATTGTTAGTTGACTAAAGGAAGAATGACATAAACGTACTATGTTATGTATAAATTCTAGGGCTTTTTCCTTATGTTGAATCAGTTTTATCACCTTTGAACTGTTATATATACACCAATTTCGTTATTCGCTTGGTCCTGATTTTTCAAGTTTAGCGCTTTTTAGTGAGTTACTTTTCTACGAAAGGGGGTCGCTAACCCCATGCCCAAACCTCTTCCTTTATCCAGGCTTGGAACCAGCAGTAACACCAGAGGGGCTTCAATCAAATCGCACTTGACGGAGAGGCTTTAGATGATGTAAAAAACCTTTGCATACTTGACCAGAATCATTGATGAGCACAGTTTTCGTCCCATACAGTAGAACTGTCTTGACATTTGTATTGAAAATTCTGACTTTGATGTTGGTTGTGCTACGTTTGAATCGATTACGAGTTCACCTAGTCTGCGAACGGAACAAAGACCAATAAGCTAGCTTTTCTGATGCTTTCCAGCCCCGCTAACTAGAGAGAGAAGTCGAAGTCCGAACGGGGAATAAATATATTCCGCAAGCAGCCAGAAGCAAAAGCAATCCAACAGGCACAAATTAAACGTATATATACAACATAAAACTGTCCTTGGGAACCGTACAAAATAGCATACTAAAAGACACAGCGGACCAATAGCGTTTAGAATTTTCCCAAGTGGGAAATACGGCATGAAGGTGAAAAAGGCGCTTTTGGCGTGGAAACAAAGAAATTCAAAAAGTAAGGTATTTACCAAATGAGTTCTGAGGATCTAACATCCTCAACAGGTTCACAGTTGTTTTGAGTTCCAGTTGTATATATGCCGCTCGTGCCTTGCCGATCCGCGCATTCACATTTGCGTTAGATCAGGTTACTATGTAGTGATTATAAACCGACTGACGGTGTTGTGAACCTTCATTCATTAAGGTTGTAGAACTATCTAATAACATTACTTACCATGACGCATAATAGAGACTGATCAGTTGCAGTCCTAACAAATCGATGGGAAGATTCAAACAAACAATACTAAGTTGAATTTAAACTTCACCCCATCGCACAAGCAAGTGGCTATCAGGACTCAGTGGCCGAGTGGATAACGCGATGGCGTTTGAAGCGAGGGTACTGGGTTCGAGTCCCAGAGTGAACATCAACTCTGAGATGCAGGTACATCCAGCTGACGAGTCCCAAAAAGGACGAAACGCGCGTCCTGGATTCCACTGCTAGCCACTATCCATCTCTGCCAACCATGCTTGTGAAATAGTTATAGTTTAACTGATTAAATGAAGCCAAATTAATCATTGACTAGTTTACAGAACCACAACCTATAACTACATACTTTAGTTGACAATAAACGAAATCTTTTGCACTAGCATGTTTCCGTTCATTCTCTAGATCTTGAGTACTAATATTATTTTACTGCATTTATCTCTCGATTTCATTTTTTAAAACTAAATTCTATGTGTATCTTTTACTACCACTGATACTATTATTATTTCGAATCGTATGATTTTCTGTGGTAGTTGTGTGCATTTTATTTCCATATAACAAATTGTACTGACCCACTTTTGTACAAGATAACACATTGTTGATAACTGATTGTAAAAAAATTATTATTTCTATTTCGCTAGGGGAGGATATATTCTGTCTCCGAAATCAATTGAGTTTTGGCAAGGTCAAACAAACAGACTACATGATCGTATTAGATTTCGTCGTTGTGATCAGACTTCAGAAATAAATGAATCTGACCTAGTACATGTTGGAGAAAATGGTTGGGTATACGAACGACTAGCTCCATAGAAGTTTGTTTTATATGAGAAGTTTAATTTACTGCCACTTTTTGTAGTAATCATATATATAGTCAATAAAATATTCTGTTTGTAATTTTTGAAAGGATTTAATTTGCAGTCGCTTTTCTGAGGTTTAAAAACTACTAATATCTTGGAGGATGTTAAGTTCTCAAAGAAAATTTAGTAAGAAAAAATTAAATGAAAGATCTAGTACTTATTTAATTGTGATTTTTGTATTAATTCATTGTAATTTCTGTTAATTTAACTTCTAGACTAATTCAATGAAATGTTTTCTTAGTATAATTAGTCCGAAGCGATTTCGCGTTCCCCTGACTTCTGTTTATTATAATATAGCGAACAGGTAGGGAAGAGAAGGACAGAAATAGTCTCTTTCATCGCTATTGAAGTCAGAGTTGCGAATTATTAGCTTGGTGTATGATCGTATTATAACTAAAATTACTGTGCAAGAAAATAAATTGAGAACAGTTAATAAGGCATCAACCAAATGTATTTCGTGATAAGTCAAGAGCTTAATAGAGATGATATATATACAACCTGGTAAGAACAGACTAAAACGATGAAAAAAATAACCAGTGAATTGATTATTATCCGAAGACTACATAAACTGCATTTACCGGTCAGAAAACCACATATATTTGAGCTTCCGAGTTACTATTCAACAGTTTCTCGATTTTAAATGAGTAAATCAACATGCATAACCATGCAATTACATATGTGCTACCTAGATCGTGCCCCGGTATGGCCGAGAGTGGGGAGTGCCAGCTCTCCCTCTCGAAATGGTCTCCCATGGCCTCGTGCATACAGTCACTGCTAGGGAAGTCCCACTCACTGCCTTCAGGGGTGTTGTTTACGAAATTGAGAGGACGAAAAGTGAATGTCCGGCGCTTTGATCGGGTTAGTGGATACGGAATATCCGCCTAAAGGAGTTGGAAAACCCTGATTCCAAACCAATTTTGTACACGGGCTCCAGAGGAAACAAAAGGCGTACGAACCTATCGTTGGTCATTAGCTACCATGGAACTGCATCTCCTAAAGTTGCTCCGCTCTTTTGCAGAATAGACCTCTAGGTTAACGGCTCGGGGAGCGGCTCTCTAAGAGAACCATTTGCTTGTTTTGGGCACCCGGGCAGTATCCCAGCCTTCACACAAATCGAATGATTTATGTGGCGCATGTCTATTCGGTGCTTCCTTGTACCAATGTTTATGTGTTTAAATAATAATAAGTTGGCAACAGGATAGTCTATCCTATGTAGGGTACTTGTAATAGCCTATAAAAGCGTATGTACACATACACCTGATGGGGGGTTAGCTAAATCAAGTGCCAATATTTAAAAGTGTTGACCGATTAAAAGGGAAGTTTGACTTATAATACCATACGATCTTAATAATTCTACTGTATAGTTTATCTTCTTATCAAAGCAATCAATATAAATAAGCCAATTACTTCCCCATTGCAAATATTGAATCGGTACAAGTACATATATAAAGTAGTACATTCTTACTAAGTTGATGATTGCTTATTTATGTTTTAACAGTACAATCTATTTGTCATCATAAAACTAATTTGATCAGTCATATAAATACGATTGCTGATGAAAATATGAGTGAAAAATATTACTTGAGTGAATAAAAAGTAGTATATAAAAAAAGCTAAAAATAAATCAAAGTCAAAAATCAATACAATTGTAACCATAGAATAGAATAAAGGCACTTAGTTATTCAAAGAAAAAACTTGTTTTAA